GAGCTCATTCTGCTGGGCCATGCTGCTATGGAGGAGCAGAGGTTGCAGCTCACTCTCCAAACGCCCCTGAAAAATCCATAAATTCAACAGTAGCTGCATCTAATGAATTGAGAAAGGCGCAATTATGTGCAGAACCTTGTTTTCTATCATTTGCGTTGCTCTCACCGTGTTTTCCTGCCAGCGAGAGAGGCTATTTTTATTGTGTTTACCTACTTACTGCGGATTGAAGAATATCCACAAATTACAGGGCAGTAGAGTAGAAAAGCCATTCATTTCTACAGGAAAATGCATAATTCAGGCAGATAAATCCATAGCTGTTACGTTGGAAATTTCATACTGAGGTTGAGAATTGCAAGCTACGCCTTTTTCAGGACCCAATTATCTCTTCTTTCGCTCGTAGAAAAAAGAAAAGCCCATGAAATTCCAAAATTGAGAATTTAGTGATGAGGAGGATTAGGAAGGACATGAGCTCAAAGCCCTTTTTTATTGCAATTCCTTTTACGAACTCACGTTGGAGCAAGTTCTCTAGCCTCAAAAAAATACAACTTCCCTCAGCCGTACAGATGTGCTCCTCTGATTCACTGCCATGCAATTAATCACAATAGACTCTGTGTGGGCATGATCATAGGCTGTATCAATGTACGCTATTTTCTAGGTTACACAACCTTCACTGCAATAGGCGCTTTATTAAGTTTAGTAATGCGAAAGATAATCTGAAAGACATGACCGAGTGTCCTTCCAGAAAGCATCTGCATATAGTCGCTCTAAAACATTAATTAAAATGCATTCTTTCCTGTGAAGTCTGAAGTGTAACTCACTCTTTTGATGTTCTTTCAGTGAAAACTGATTACAGTACATTTCAGGACAAATCAGGCTTCATAACTTTGCCATGCAGCATGATCTTAGTTTATTAATTTTATGGTTAACTTACACCAGTCTTTGAATGTTACCTTTGAGTCAATACAAGAGCTGTTCCTTCATCAATTTTGTAAAATATAAACAATTTATATACCTATACCTATATCTGTATCTATATCTATATCTATATCTATATCTATATCTATATCTATATCTATATCTATATATCTATATCTATATCTGTATCTGTATCTATATCTATATATCTATATCTATATCTATATCTCTACCTATACTTATATCAATAGAAATAGAAATAGAAATAGAAATAGAAATAGAAATAGAAATAGAAATTAAATATAAATAGTAATTTCATTTTTAATCATCTGAAATCAGTTTGCATTACAAAATGATAAGATAAAAACATTTACACTGTCAAGCCTCAGAAATAAATTACCCTTTTTAACCTGACAAAAATATAATCAAATTTAGGGTCCTGAAGTTGAGATGTGCTAAAAGCAACCAGAGAGGCCTGGCTTCTTGGAAACAGACTTCATATTGACATCTGATAAATGCAGAGATTACAAACCACATTGCCAAACACTGCCCTTGCAAATGTAGGGTGCAAAGTCTGTAAGTAAATACACCCACTTCCAAAAATGTTTTAAATAACGTCGTACAGTGCTGTAACAGAGAGGAGAAATCTCAGATGGGAGAGCAATATTTCTCATTGTCTATAAAGGGTTTGAATCCAAATGTTAATGACGAAGTGTAGTAAAACCTGTTGTTTATCACGTTAAAGTGCTAACCTCACTAGCAAAGGACTGTTTGAATTCCAGCTGCACGGAGCATTCTAGTGGGGAAAAATTACAGGTATATTCGAGAGAGACAGTGCTTGCACTGCACATAATGAGAGCTGACAACGACGAGAGCAGCGTTCTGTTCGTTACAGCAGAGCTCACCAGAAACCGCAGAAAAATCTGCCTTTTCCATTACAAAACCTGTTTTCAATCTATTTAGCTTATCTGCACAGTTTGCAGGTTGAAGAGTTCTCATTGTTTTTGCAGAACATGATGTCGTTGTACAGTTGCACTCTTAAAAAGGCACATAAAAATAATAATGCTTTTTGGACAGTTATGGAAACGAAGCAACCCTCCATCCCCTCAGCTAAACTCACACATGGGCTCTGCCGGCTTTACATATTCTGTATATGAATTTCTGCAAAATTTTGGTTTGTTTTAGAGGTTTTTGTTTATTTGTTTATGCAATAAGAGTGAAATAGTCCAATAACTACCAAAACAATTACATTTCCCAGTTTCAACTGCAAAATGTTCTAATATTCCTGTACAGATATGTGAATGGTGGCACCCAAAAGTGAATACAAATCCACTCTGTCAATCTTTAATTCCTCTTTATTCTACTTTTCCTCTTTGATGACTGATCAGACACTTGTACTACGGTCTCCCTTCGAATTAAAGATTCAATCTTTTGATACATCGTGAAGGAAAAACAAAAAGCAGAACTGCAGTACCGCAACTCTGCCAGAAGATAGCGATGCTCTACAAGAACTGAGATTGTAAACCATGGGTGCAAGGTGAGCTAAACGCATCTGTTCAGTTCAGAGAGCTGCTTAACAGCAACATTCATCCAGATACTGAAGATATCTGAAAAATTTTTCTTTAAGTCTCCAAAAATTAATTTCTGCAAAATTAGATATCAAATAAGGCTCATATAGAAATATGTTATGTCCTACTTCTTGTTCAGCCCTTCAAGAAAAAACTGAAATAGAGCAAGAAATGTGAACAGTGACTTTTAGCACTGATTTGTTCCCTATTTTTTTACATTAAAAAACATGCAAAAAGAATACAGACTATTAAAAACACATACGATTTTCAGGTGTGACAGAAGCCTCATGACATCCGCCATGTCAGCCAGGATCAGTAAGCGGGTAACGGCAGAAAGCAAGGCCCGAGCAGCCCGCACCATGGTGCCCCGTTTCACTGAGGAGCACGGGTCGTCAGCAAACTCCGAAGAGGCAATTCGCATTGTTTCTCCTAGAACAGAAAAGAAAAAAGGAAATTAAAATAAGTTTCACACTTGTATTTTTTTTAGTTGGTTGGGAGAATGGGACAGAGCACCCCAACTCTGTCATCCCAATTGCATCGCTCTGCAATTCTGCCTTCCAGCGCCATCCTCCTTCTTCCCTCCTGCTCCCCACTCCTTGCCTTCTTGCTCAAATGCTTTGCCCTCCTCCATCTAGAAGGGCTATCACTACTATTAAAGAGTTCAAGCAGTCATCCTAAATGTTCTGTCATCCAATGACCCCTCCCTGCCTGAGAAGGGGAGTCAAGAAAAGGAGACCTGTGGGTTGAAATGGAAACTGGTTTAATACTATAATAATTTTTTAAAAACTGTTAATATCAATATTAAGTATACAAAGTTCTACTCAGTGGTCATGAGCTGTGTGCTCGCAGCAGTGAATGCTTGATAGCAAAATACTGTGAGCACCAGAGCTTCAGCAAAAGTGTGACAGTAACAACAAAGAGGGAAGTAGGCCTTAGGAGCAGTGATGGGTGAGGTCCTCCATGGAAACCAACCATCGAGGAAAGAGAGACCATCTCCAGCAAACTTTCCAATTTATAGTGAGCATATTGCTTATGGTATGGCATAATTCTGTTGGCCAGATTGGGTGAGCAGCCTTGGCTTCTGCTCCTTGCAGCTTCTGCACCTGGGTAACTCAAAGCTGCTAAAAACCTTGATCACTATGGAAATCCACATACCATGGTTGGCCACGGACTAAAACAAAGTGTCTTATCAGCTTTATTCCCACTGAATTGGGTGCTACAGTCTTCTCAAAAATGCAGCTTTCCTGAATAGCAAACCAATTCTGTGGAGGGTGCTAGATCAGTGGCACAGGTTGCCCAGAGAAGTGGTGCAGGCCCCATCCCTGGAGATATTCAAGGCCAGGCTTGATGGGGCTGTGAGCAACCTGATCTGGTACCAATGTCCCTGCTGTCTGCAGGGGTTGGACTGGATCAGCTTTGAAGGTCCCTTCCAACCCAAACCATGCTGTGGTCCTGTTCCAACGAAACCAGGACACTGCCTCTCTATGGACAAAGCCAAATGCTCTCTTGTCTAACAGATTAAACTGCTGGTGCAGGGACATGTTACTCCTGTTTAATTCCAGCAACAAGGATCTTAATCAACATGGTACTTGGTAACTAAATTATGAAGTTTAAGGCCTAACTTTACTTGTTCTTTTTAGCAGACGGAATTGTTAAGAAAGAATAAACTGTGCTTAATGCTACCAGCACTGCAAGGGCTTGAGTTCTTTCTGTAAAGCTGAGATCGAGTAGTTTTCAGCTACTAAAGGAAATAGTGCTTTTAAATTACTAAGATTAGGATTAGGTTGGAATATGGTAGCAAAAGGTGGACAGGGAGAAGCTGAGGAAATATCTGACAGAAAAAAGCCAGGGACAGTGCAATGGTTTCAGAGAAGTAGGCAAGATACCAGGGGCAAAGACCTTGCAATAAGAAAGTGGGATCTTTCCTCCTGCCTTATTTACAGCAAGGAATAAGTTGCGTAACTGAACATTAAAGATTTTTTTGTAGTGAAAACCATCTCAAAGATTTGATAATCTCATTTAAGCCAACACAGAACATGAAGCTCAACCAAAAAGGTAAACATTACATTAAATTACACAGAAACATGGTTAACATCACAAGGAGATCAGGTAAATTCTGATACATAAGAAAGACTTAGTGATTGAAAAATAAACAGCACACCACTGGAAGTCAAATAAACTAGGAGATTAATGAAGCAGTAATTGAAAAAGAACAGCACGTGTCTTTTCCTTTAAGCTATCACTCACAGATGACAGTGAAGGGATTTCTGCCATAGGGCATTTCTTTCTTTGTAACTACCAGAAAAGCAACAATATAGCACATAGACTATGCAGAAATGTAGAACATATATCAGCCCATAATTTTGCAAAACAATTCTGAACACCTAACAAAATCACCTTTTCACTAATGATCTGGAAAACAGAATGATGATGCATTAATAGTTCACAAGTTACTTGCAAAATAATATGGTTCTGGATATTGAAATGGGAACCTGGATCTGTCATTAAAACTAAAATGTAAATATTTATACTAATAAACATACTGTAAGCATTAGTGTAACATCAGAAGTAAAATCCAACTGATTCCTAACAGTGATGAGAACATCAAGGATGAATCGACTAGAATATAAACCTTAATATTAAATGCTGAGGCCCCCAGAAAATTTAACTGATACCAAAAGGTTATTGGAGTGTTTTTTGAGTGAGCTGCAACCTTAAAAATTATTATAAATCAATACAATGTTATTCTAAGCAACAAAGGAAAAATGCATCACTTGCTCTCAGCTTCATCCTTGTAGGAAGTGGTTGATTATGGTTGGACTTGATGATCTTAAAGGTCTTTTCCAACCTAAATGGCCGTGATTCTATGGTTACCCCACCTTACTTCTTAACAGCGTCAGCTGAAAAATACTGAAGTGACCATGCATCCTCTTCCTTCATAATTCAAGAAAAGGCAGAAAAATTCGGCATTAAGAATAGAAGCTCAGAGATGATACTGTTAATCCAGCCTGTGAGAAAAACACCTGGGTATTTTAAAGGCCTTCAAAAGGCCATGGAGAACAACCCACTACAGAGACCTCTAAACCCAAATCCTAGGCATTTCTCTCTCTCCAATTTCTATATTTAAGTTTAGCTGTTATGACCTTCTTTTCAAACCCCAATTTTAATTCATATAATTAATTATAATTAATTATTATTATTAATTCATATAATAATAGTTTATGCCTGTGCAGCTGAATTCTTAGGTTTGTGTTCATTTTCCCCTATCTTGATACTGGGCTGCCTGAAAACCCCCTTTATCGCATTTTCTCCCTGACATTTGCAATCAGAGAGAGAGAGTATGCCTTGATCTTTGGGTGAACACACATCTCAGGTTATATTTTGTTTTCTTCTCTTTCTCCACTTGCTGATTTTTAAAACTTTTAAAAATTATGTTTATATTCTTTTGCATAGGATGAAAGTGGTCAATAATTTCAATATATTACGAGTTACCAACAGATCAGTAGTGATGCAACCCTCATTTCCCTAGGAAATCAGGCTGAAAGAGAAGCAAAAACCATCTTGAATGAGATTTTACATTAACCCAAACTTTGCTACTATTAAAAAACAAAAAATCCTGTTCATCTCCAGTGTAGAAACTCAGCAAGAAAGTACTTCTAATGTGAAATCAAAGCATATTTATATCGCTTTTAAGACCATTGTAACAACATTCAAAAAACATCCCAGATGGCTTCTCTTCCCAGAAGACATTGCAAATAGTGGAGGAGTGACTTGAGACAGCAGCAGTGAATAATTCCCATCAGAACCCTTTCCTTTATTATATTACCATTAGGACTGCGTGTTCTTATTAAATTTATGTGCGGTGGATCTTGGATGATAAACCGATAATATACAATTGCAGTAGAAAAAGTCAAATGGCTCCTTTCTCTGTTTCTTAGATTCCCATATGGTTGCCAAAACTCTCAATAGATTTCTTAAAAGAAAAGGAACAAACTGTCATTGTTAAGGAGAAAACAAATTTCTAAGCATGCTTAAACGCTCAGCATCGCAGAGTCAACGTTCCAGGTACCTGGTGTCCGCAGAGGAACCAGGTTTCTGCAGAGGACCACCACAGTTTGCTGTACCTACCTCTCCATCAGTTTTACCTGTGTGCCAAAAAATCACTAAAATTAGGAGCAAGGAACTCTGAGGCCACAAAGATTTTTCTGACACATACTTTAAATCAAACACTTACTGGAAAAATTTATCAATAACTCTTGGCTGAGAGTGTGCTAAAAACTGGGAATGAAATGTCCACTTTTTTTATGGTTGTTTTTGTTTTGAATCAGTGACTTAAAATATTCCATGGAAAAAGAAGAGGCTGAGAGCAACCAGAGAAGAGCTTGGAGTCCAGCACGTGGGCAAGGGTTAGATTTGAATTTCCTAACCTGGGAATTTGATCCCAAATGGGAATGATTGCATTCATCTCATCAGTGTAACAACTGGGAAGGCATCACCTGCCCTTTGGTTATTTATTAAAGGAAACCAATTATCACAGCTTTATGTAGGAAGTGTGATCCAACCCTTCGAGCGTATCCAGCTGACGGATCCCAAGGGGATACGGATACACGCCAAGGGATGAGAAGCCCAGCAAGGCTTTTCCTTATTTAAGTGCTAAGTTGGATTCAGATATAATGGGAGTGATTCTGAGCATCCAGCAATGCAATTTTTGTATGTGAAATTACTTGAACTTTAGGTATATCCAAGGTAAATGGCAGCCAATGCAATCTGGAATCAAATGCCTAATAATTTTGTTTAGCTTCCACTTTGGTATTGAGAAGATGATACAGTTTTCTGCCAAAGTACCAGTCTGTAGCTTCAGATAAACATTAACATTGAACGATGAAAGAAGGAAATTATATTGGGTAATTGGCCAGCGGCACCAGGAAAGCAAGCACAGAAATTATCTTCTTAGGCTTGACTATCCAAGGAGATACAACTAGCAAATATATTTGAAAATCAACACTCATGGACAGAGGGAAAACACATGGAGGGTCAAAACAACAGGTTAAAAAGTTTGGATTAGTTGTCTAACCATAGAAAACAAAAGTCAGGTGAACTAAATCTTCTCCAAAATAACTAAGCAGCATTAAATAGACATAAATAAGTAAATAAAAAAAGTATTAGTACAACAGTTTATAGCAGGTTGTTTAAAACTTATGGAGAAGTTCACAATTTAGAATCTAATAACCTAGAAAGCCAGACGTTACTGGGGAGGAAGGATTGTCTGTCCATGACGTTTAACATATTCTTATCCTTGTAGAGCAATGGTATCAAACTGCTCTTGAGCCAAAGATAAGGAAAGTAATTTTGGAGCTACAGCTCAGCAAATTGTATTTCTAAGAAATCTTTTTTTATCTGGAAAAAGCCACCCCTACTTTCAGTTATCC